CATCGTGTTGAACCCCCAACACGCCCAGCAGCAGCGCGAGGCCGCCCAGCGCCCCTGCGAGGACGCCGAACGGACCCCCCGTTCCAGCGAAGACGACGCCGCCGCCGACGATGACGACGAGGCCGACCCGCGGCGGATGGACCCGGCGACTTTTTTGTGCACCAGCGAGGAGCTCCGCCAGTGTATGCACCTCCGCTGGCGCGAGGTCCGGCCGGTCGGCGTCGGGCTTGTCAATCTCGGCAATACCTGCTTTATGAACGCCATCCTGCAGGCGATCGGCTACACCCCGGCCCTTTCGCAGTTCTTTTCCGAGCGGTTTAGCGCTCCGAATACCTCGCTGAACGCGCCTTTCGACTTTGCCTACGCGCTCGGGGAGACGATTCAGAAAATGACGCGCTCGACGGGATTTCATAGCGGCCATTCCCCGATTTCTCTGAAGGGGGGTTCGGGGAAATCGGCCTACCGTCCAGGGGTGATCGCGTCTCGACTGCCATCCTTGTCCAAGCGATTTAGCATCGGCACCCAAAGCGATGCGTCGGAATTTATTATTCAGCTCTTTTCCGCCTGCGAAAAGGCGATTTTGTTTCGTTTGGTGGGCTCAAGGAAAGTCGAACCGCGCGTCGCCTTTACCGCGGCGTTATTTCGAATCTGCGGGGGCTATCTCCGCTCGCAAGTTGCCTGGAGCGCGCAGGACGAGTTTCAGCAGCTCCAACGCGAGGGCAAACATCAGGAGGCGACGGATTTAAAGCTCTCCCTTCAACAAAAAAGGTCCAGCGAACGGAGTGGCATTGGAGGGCATAACACCCATGGCCCCTCGCGTACGGAGCAGCTGGTTTCGAATACCTACGATCCGATGACTGTATTGCATATTGAGCTCGTGGGGCAAACCTTAGAGCATTCCTTAGCCGCCTTTTGCGAACCGGAAAAGCTATATGGGCGCTGTTATTCCACCCCGCGCGAGGTCAACGTCAACGCGACAAAGCAAATGACCATCCACATACCGCCGAACGTCCTGATGATTCACCTCAAGCGCTTTCAGAACACCGACCGGAAGGTCTGTCGGCATCTTCACTATCCCTTAGAGCTGGACCTCTCACCCTTTATCACGGAGTCGGTGGAGCGGCGGCAAAATGCGTCTGCTCATATCAATAAAAAAGAGGAAAATAGCGCCCGCGCGAAATCACGTTATGAGCTTAATGCCATTTGCATTCACGAAGGGGGGTCCATTAACCACGGGCATTACTACTCGGTCGTGCGCGCGCCCAATGGGATGTGGTATATTTGCGATGATTCCAGAGTTTACCCTGTTAGTGTGGAAAAGGCGTTAAATCAACAGGCATATATGCTTTTTTACTCCCGCATTCCACATGAAAAAGAGAACACCACCAAACGTCTTGAAAATGATGAAAAGCAAACTTCCGAGACACTTTCATTAGGGAGTGGTTTGGAGATGCACCATTTGAATGTTATAAAGAGTGAGTCTTTCGGAGAGGAACTTAGCGAGGGAGAGGCAATCGCTCGTCTTCGTGAGCGGCGGCAGAAGGAGGCGTGTGCGGCCATCGAAAATAATCAAACTAATAAGGATCATGCAAAAATATCTAAAGTTTCCTTACCCCACCCTTCTTTTTCATCGGATGAAAAGACGAACCGGCACAAAACGAATGAGAAACCTTATACATGGACGACAGCAAGCGCGATGCGGGAGCCCTCTGACGATTCTGATAATGACGAATCCAACGAAGTTAATTATAATTTGATGCATAAACATATATCAAACAAAGGTGAGAAGGATCCCCTTTTAACATTATCTCATTTTCAAAATAATAATTCCTTATGGAAGGAAGATCATACAGAAATGGGGAAAATTCCTCATCAACCATTGCCGCTTTCCCTCTCTAATGCCCTTCGCCCTCCGCCTTCATTGAGTAACGCCTCATCATTATCCACCACTACCACCATCAATACAAAAAATACAAATAAAAAAATACATCCAAACGATCCTATTCGCTCGCGGAAGGTGCATTCCTCTTTGACAGATTCAGATAAGAAGTCAACTAATATTTATAATGGGAATACAACTAGTATTGTTAACACTAATTTAAAGCAACCCTCCTCGGCTATTGCGCATACCGGTATTCATGCAGTTGCCAAACTGCATGATTATATCGCACAAACAACACCATCGACGATTCAACGATCCGCGGATGCCCCTAAATTTCAACAAAGAGTGCGAGATCCGATGTGGGAAATGGAGATGGATCGCGGCCGTGTGAAGAAGGTGCGTTCAAAAAATTCAGGAAATGAATTTTCTCAAGTGAATCCAGATAATATTAAGAAGACAAATCCATTCCAAGACGTCGCGTCGAGCCGTTTGGGTAGGCAAGGAAATAAACTCCCTTGAAATGAAGTGGGGTTAGTTCTTTTCCCCATGTTATACGCATAAAAACATTTCGATGGCGTTCATTGTGAGAATGCATCTTTGTAGTAACCATTGATGTTGAACGATGTTTAGTCTTCATGAG